GTACACCTGTCCAACTGCTCGTTAACACTTAATTTCTAAGCACCCAATCACATGGCGGCAACTCAGTGCATTTAGGCATGTAGACATGGTCAAGACAATCTCCTGCAGTTCAAACCGAGCATCAGTATGGGGAAGAAAGGTGATTTGAGTGACTTTGAATGTGGCATGATTGTTGGTGCCAGAAGGGCTGGTCTGAGTATTTCAGAAACTGCTGATCTACTGGGATTTTCACGCACAACCATCTCTAGGGTTTACAGAGAATGGTCCGAAAAAGAAAAAACATCCAGTGAGCAGCAGTTCTGTGGGCGGAAATGCCTTGTTGATGCCAGAGGTCAGAGGAGAATGGCCAGACTGGTTGGAGCTGATAGAAGGGCAACAGTGACTCAAATAACCACCCGTTACAACCAAGGTGGGCAGAAGAGCATCTCTGAACGCACAGTACGTCGAACTTTGAGGCAGATGGGCTAGGCTTGTCCCGATCCGATCCACGTATCGGATCGGGACGCCGATATTGGCAAAAAAATGCGTATCGGCAAAGCATGTAAAATGCCGATCCAGTTTTTTTTTTTTTAATCCGGTCCGTATTTTCCAGTTTCGCCGATTGAAACGATCCATTCCACTATTTTGCGCCAGTGTTCCCCTGTTTTGCATTTTTATTAAAACTTACAGTAATACTTGCACCTTTAACTGTTTACGGTTTTACTGTTCACTGTGCAATTTCAGATTGCTATTCGTAATTTTGTCCAGTTTGTGTTTATCTCTTAATAAACAGGTAAGTTTGTTGTTACCAAGCATTGTGTTTTATTCAATCTCACCTAATTTAGCTAGCTAGATGTTATCAAGAGTACTAAAACCCTTTTCAACATGAGTCTTACAACTAAGGCTAAAATACTTTAACTTAAACTTAAATACATGCTCAGATAGGCTGGTATCGGCCAGTATCGGTATCGGATCGGAAGTCCAAAAACAATATCGGTATCGGATCGGAAGTGCAAAAACCTGGATCGGGACATCTCTAAGATGGGCTACAGCAGCAGAAGACCACACCGGGTGCCACTCCTTTCAGCTAAGAACAGGAAACTGAGGCTACAATTTGCACAAGTTCATCGAAATTGGACAATAGAAGATTGGAAAAACGTTGCCTGGTCTGATGAGTCTCGATTTCTGCTGCGACATTCGGATGGTAGGGTCAGAATTTGGCGTCTACAACATGAAAGCATCGATCCATCCTGCCTTGTATCAACGGTTCAGGCTGGTGGTGGTGGTGTCATGGTGTGGGGAATATTTTCTTGGCACTCTTTGGGCCCCTTGGTACCAATTGAGCATCGTTGCAACGCCACAGCCTACCTGAGTATTGTTGCTGACCATGTCCATCCCTTTATGACCACAATGCACCCAACTTCTGATGGCTACTTTCAGCAGGATAATGCGCCATGTCATAAAGCTGGAATCATCTCAGACTGGTTTCTTGAACATGACAATGAGTTCACTCTACTCAAATGGCCTCCACAGTCAGCAGATCTAAATCCAATAGAGCATCTTTGGGATGTGGTGGAACGGGAGATTCGCACCATGGATGTGCAGCCGACAAATCTGCGGCAACTGTGTGATGCCATCATGTCAATATGGACCAAACTCCCTGAGGAATGCTTCCAGCACCTTGTTGAATCTATGCCACGAAGAATTGAGGCAGTTCTGAAGGCAAAAAGGGGTCCAACCCGTTACTAGCATGGGGTACCTAATAAAGTGGCCGGTGAGTGTAAATCGTGAGTTGTGAGCTCACACTGTACGACTAAACCCTGCGGTTTAATCGTACAGTGTGGTTTAGTCGGTGTGAAGGTAGCATAAGGGCGGCCATGGCCACCCCTGGCTCCCCATCTAGCTCTGCCCCTGGTGGCACTTGCTGAAAAGCATTTAGGGAGCTGTGGTTTCAGGGATCAGAGCATAGATTTAGATGATAGAATGGTTCGGTCAAAGTCCAGACCTAAATCCAACTGGTAATCTGTGCAAAGATTAGAAAAAAGTAGAACACAGCAAAGAAGAGAAAAAAATGAGTAAAAGAAAAACAAAAATAACAATGAAGTACACATAAAAAAATTAAAATTGTGTGCATCACCTTAAAATCAGCAACAAATCACAGCTGTTATTATAGAAAATGTGGAAAAGATTTAAAGGGAGAACAATTTGCTGAGGCATTTTATGTCTGTTATTGTATGTAAAGAAGAAAAACCACCAGATCGCACCAATCATTGCAGCAGTTTATCTCCACTGAGAGTTTTTAGAGTAAAAATGTCACAATAAAAGCTAAAAATCAACATATTAAAACTCACACAGCTCCTTTCGGTCCAGACGTTTCTGTCGGTTTAGTTTAAGGAAATACGTGAAACTCTTTTGCTTGTTTTCGGCTTCCAAACAAGCTTTTTTTTTTATTTAACTTAAGTGAATTTAAACAGAACTAAAGCACAACTTGGTCACAAAAAACCTTCACAAAGTCAGACCTCAGGCTCTGCAGGAGCTCCTCCACAACATGGACCTTGGACGTGTTTTCACAGCCTTCCTTCTAATGCATTGTGGGTAATGAAGTTTTTTTTCCTTTAAATTCATACATGTTGATATAACTCCAGCTGATATGTTAAATTGCGTCTAAAACTAAAAAAAAACAACCACAAAAAATACAAAATAAAGTCAACTAACGCTTGTTAGCATAAATGATTTAAAAACTGAAACAGTTCAGCAGAACTGCAATTAATAATCATAAAAAAATAAGATTTTTGGACATTTAGGCGTATCTAGTTGATTTAAAACCAAATGAAAACCAATACGTTGTGTGTTTCTACTAAAGAAAAAAAAAAGATTAAATGTAAAAACATTAGAAAAACAATTTTTTTTTTATTACAGAATTGTCTCAGTATTTGTTTTGGGCCTTTTTTCATGAATTACTGGAAGAATGCAAAGCAGTATGGGGTTTATTAGCCTGTGGTTCGGCTGAAGTGTAATAGAACCCCAAGTTGTCTTAAAAATGGACTTGATGTTGTCTGGATTGCTGATTCTGCTGTTTGTTATCTTTCTGTTGACAAAACCTCATAGATTCCCTATGGAGTTAAGGTTAAGCCAAGATACAGCGATTTCCTGATATAGTGATTTTTGAACATGGTTCCACAAATCATCATGGTCAATGGAGACGTCATACTGCAGCTGATGAAATTCGGATGTGACGGCTGCAGCTCATGGATCCACCTATATGTGTGGTGGCTCTTGAAGCCCCTGAATTGGCTTTGCTTCTTAAACCTCAAAATGATGCATTTTATCCATGCACCTTTTTTCCCCCTATTTTCCTCCAGAGAATGACTTAATAGGACGAACTTGTGAAAAATGCATGCAATTTCTTGCAGAGATTATAGATTTAAAAAGTGTTTCGTCTGAATTATTCAGAGAGCTGCTGAGAGATTGAGTCTGAAAATATTGCCAAGTCCAGATGTAAGAAGCTGACAAAAGCATTTATAGGATAAACTAAGTATTTTAAATGTATTCATTTTGTTTATTAGTTAAATTGCATTGATTAGTTTAAAGGTTCTGGAGTCGATTATCATGGTCAAATATTATAAAAATATTATAACCTGATTAGAATGGTACATCTCTGAGATAACCTTTACCTGTCCTGTCACATTAAATTAGGTCTGTGGAAACTGTTGAACCTTCTGCTGAATTTGTAATAAAACAGCAAAATGAGGCAAAACAGAATCATGTTTATTGCTGAAAAATATTAGAATAAAGTTACATTGTATCATCAAACAAATCACAAAAACACTGGGTCGATGGAAGAAAGCAAACTTAGTAACAGTGTCCTCCATCTCCAGTAATAACCAACTTCCGTCATGGCACCAGAGAGGGTCTCCACCTGTAAACCGACACCGAACCAAACAATTCTGAGTTTACAGTTACCCGGTCGATGCCCATCAGTCTGCATTAGTGCAATGATCCATATTGATCTGTGCTTTGGGAGTTACCACTGGGAGGAAAAAAAAATAGCTCCATGCAATGGATATCTGGGATAATCTGTTCAAGGATGTGAGCAGCTGCATGTCTGAGAGGTTCTGGGTTGGAAGATGAGTGCCTCTGTAAATGGATTTATTCTATTAAAATTCATCCTGAGCAGAAGTGCTCATCAGTTTGTGCACTTTAAGGTCTTGAACTCAGACAGATTTGTTGGACAGCCTCTCTCCATGTTAGACGTCCATTTCTTTAGCCTTTTTAAGTCTCCTTTGCCCCCTATCTGCCATGATGGATTTCAAACAGTCAGTCATCTTTAGATGCATGTTGAATAGCCCACTTAAATAATTATCTAAAAAAAATGATCAAAGTAAAAAGGCATGTCATTTAAGCCAAAAAAAGGAAAAAAATTTAGGCATTTAAAGTTTCATGCAATCTATTTCCAAGTATGAGAAATTAATGTTTTGCAGACAGGTGGCGCTGTAGGCCAACGCTATTTTATTGAATCTGTACAGAAACTGGCTTTGCATGCAAATATAGTACAGAATGAGACTCTGAAACACAATATTCACCTTCTTTAAGTTTGTTCAGACACATTTATTTGAAGAAGAAACCTTTATAGTAATACAATCTAAACCAGGGGTCTACAACCTGCGGCTCCAGAGCTGCATGTGGCCCTTTGGACCCTCCACACTGGCTCTTAAAAGTGGCTAAAAAAATTATATAAACAACTCATTAATGTACTGTGATAACAAACACCAGTCTTAGAAGCTTTGTAAATATTTTAATTGAATTTTCATCACAGAATGACATTAAAAGAACCACAAATATGTTTTAGAGCTATTTGCCTTTTAATTAGCTTTGAACTTGTTTTTATAGTATATATATATATATATATATATATATATATATATATATATATATATATATATATATATATATTTTTTTTTTTTTTTTTTTTTTTTTTTTACATCAAATAATCCCTATAGAAGAAAAATCCATGCTTCATCTTTTTTCATTTTTAAAAGCTAAAAATACAAATAAACTGTTGTTTGTTTAGATGGAAACAGATTTCTTTTGGCAGATATTTATTTACAATAGGCTGTTTTTATTAAAATATCCTGTAAAACATTACGTCTCTAAATGACTTTTACCGGATTCAGGACAAAATGACTCTTTGGTGGTGAATAGGTTGCATACTCATGGTCTGATTGATGATTTAATGAGAGCAATAAAAAAAAAATAATAAAATAAAATGAAATGTGAGTTATGCTTCAGTGGAGTGAGTTAACTGCAGATATATAAACTAATGGTATAAGATATCTCAATTTGTGTAATTCCTTAGAAAGGAAAATATATATAAATATATAAATAAGACCTCTCCACCCTTTGTAGTCCTGTTTAATACACAAAAATATATAAATGAAAGAGAAAACTGTAGTACAATAATACTACCAATGCTTTAGTAAAAATTGTCTATTGTTCATGGAGGTGACAATGTGGTCAGACATAGCCTCAAACAGAAGCGCATGATGCAATCCTCTGCATAAAAGAGGCAAAAATGTTACAAAAATCCAGCTGCTAAAATTTGAACGGTTCACAGATTCAGTTACTGAGACTTTTAGCGTTGATAACAGAAAATATGGGAAGATGCTGAAGGCAGCAACTTTACATATATATAAAACCTCTAGTTTCATACCAACACTTTACACTAGAGAGTCCTTCATACAGTGATTGGAGGAGCAGTAGGACACTTGAGGATAAGGTGCCCTGCTCAGCTGCACACCACGATGTGGCAGCAGGAGGCTACAATCTAAACAGCTGAAAAGACATCTAGTAATGTTTACCTCTGGGCCACTGTCGCTCATACATGTGCAAAAAAAGGAAGTACATGTCATATAAACCCTTTTTCCCCACTGTTGGAGTGTTTAGTTCATCACAAACTATTCCATATTTGGATTGAGGGATTTTCTTTTTTTTAGATTTGTTGATCAATTTAAATCACATTAAGAATGAGATCATTGATATCTTTGAGCAACAAGGTGTTCTTCTATTGCATAAAAATCCAACCTTCCTCCCATGATAGTGATGGAAGTTATTCAAGATATCTGGCTTTTATTTCCTTATGAAGCCAGAATGTCTTTATTTAATAAATGTTTCATAAGCTGAGTCAGTTTTTACCAGCTTTATGCTTCTTAATTCTCTGCTACAAAAAGATTGAGAAAACACAATCAGAGGAAGTACTGATCTAAATCCCTGAGTTTACGTCTGGAATCAACATTGGATTGTTTTTGTCTTTTTATTGAGTTTATATGTCCAAGTATTTTAAGTATTCCTTCTGTGAAACAAAGGGCCATCTTTACACACAGATATTAACATCCTCAGAGAGAAAAGTGTTCATATGTCAGAAAGTGGGTCCAGATCGATTATCCCCTGAAGCTGAAGCAGAGCTAAGATCCAACAGTACTGACGTCCTGCTCTAGTTTCTGCCCCAGTGTCTGTGCTGAATCTGTCAGCCCGGCTTTGCTTTGTCTGTCCACCGATGGCTTTGCCTCGCATGGCTGTCCACTTTCCTGCAGGCCCACCAGCCTGCTGCTGACCTCCCACAACCTACGAGCCGCCTCATCATCGAGGGCCTGGGGTGCCGGTTCCTTTTCAGTCATCACATCGTAGTACTGCCCCGTCACACCCTCCATTTCCTCAGCCACGGCCAGAAAGACGCTGGGCTGAGCGCCCAGCTCTGGACTCTTTACCAGCAAAGAGAAGAAGGGGCCTGTGAAGGACATCAGAGGGTTACAATCACTTCAATAGTATCCAAACACCCTTTAGCTTTTCAAATCTGTACCTTAAAGTTACAAATTATAGCAGATTTTATTAGAATTGGACACAGTTTAACACAAAGTGGTTCAGACTTGTAAAGAAGTAAAATATTTTTTTTTAATCTCCTTGCAGATAGTAGATTATCCTTAAACGGAAAATAAAAAAGGCCCATATTAACGTAGGAGGGACTGCAAAGAGCAACGGCTGAGGCGGCGTGATTCAGCGACAGGAAAACCAATAACTACACAAATTTGTTCTTTAATACAGAGTGGGGGGGGGGGGGGGGGGTAATTGCAGGGAGCACTAAATACATGAACCTTTACATATGTGTTCTAAACACAGCATTTTTCATGCTAAACTTTGTGCCACCCTGAACACACCATCGGCGATGGCAGCATCATGCATGAAGGACAGGATTCCTACAGAGTTTATGGGAAAATGGATAACGCTAAATCAACAATGAAAATGACCTGTTAAGAGCTGCAGAAAACAGGAGACAGGGGCAACTTGCAGCAGAACCACTGTAAACATACGGCCAGAGATACACTGCAAGGTTTACACTAGAGATGAAACAATTCATTGGATTAATCGTGATTAATCGATTATTTTAATAATCATCAACTAATTTAGTATTTGATTTATCGTTAACTAGAGTATAGAGACTCTAAAACCTTCCTTTAGCTGAGAGAGCAACCCACTTAGAGCAAAAAAAAGTTAAGATTTGCATTTAAGATAAAAATCTTATTCGTCTATCCACATGATATGTTTCACCTGGTTTAATTTTTCAAAATGTCTTCTTTAAGGAACCTTTTTATATTCGATTATGTCATGGTCTTGGTTCTGTTGTGCTTTACTTTGCTCCTTGTTTTCTAGTTTTATTGGTTTAATTCCTATTTTGTTGTAGTTTCTAGATTTATGTCCTCAGGTTTTTCTGTTTTCCTCTGTTGCCCTCTTGTGTGTGTTCCTTTCCCCTTGGCTCCCTCGTTGTCTTCTCACACCTGCTCCTTGTCAGCTCGTTAGCCCTGCCTTTGTCTCAGTCAGCTACATATATTCTCCCTCTGCTCTCACTCTTTGTTGGTTCCTTGTCGTTGCTGGATCTCAATGCTGTTTTTGTCCTACCTCGTCTCTCCCTGGCTCCTCGTGATTATTTTCCCCTGATGTCTCCATGGTTCTGGTTGGGTTTACATTAGTAGATGGTTTTTTTGGATTCCTGCCTTTGCTTACTGTTTTTTCCCCATTAAACTGCAAGAAATATCCTCAGCGTCCCTGCACTTGGGTCCTCAAACCACAACCAAACCTGGACAGATTATTGATTGATCAATAAATAAATCGACAGATTTATCAATTTGGAAATTAATCAGTTGCAGCCCTAGTTTATATTACAACAGACTTAGGGGTTAGAACGGTTTATTGATCTGACAATATGAAGCGCTTTTTTAGATCTTTAAATGCATTTGTTTGCACTACATTCTATTTAGGGGTATCAGACTAAAGAGGTCTAAAAACAAATGCATGGTACATATCAGAAAGTTTTCTACAAAAAAAAAAAAAAAAAAAAAACATTTTGATAGTCGTTGCAGTTTTTTTACCTAAATAAAATCTCTATCACTAAATAAAGTAAACATGGTTTTAGAGTTCTGCTTTTGCAGTTCCAAACATTAGAGGAACTACCTGTCAAACCTTCAAATCAGAGTCTATACAGCCTGAGTGAGCTGTTAATATGAATCAGAAGAGAATTCACCATCTTATCTACATAAGTTCAGTAATGACTCACTGAGCACAGAGCTGGAGAACTGTGATTGGTGCAGACCGGTGTGTCTCCCGAGCTCCGTGGCTACGACTCCTGGGTGTACAGCATTCACGGTCACTCTGGTGCCTGTTGCAGGTACACGCATACAAACCAGCATTTAGGACAATGCATTCTACAGCTGATCACCAGCAGGACAGCAGGCCCAACTCCCTCCCACACATGCAGCAGCTCGCAGACTCGCCTTCTAACCGCTTGGCGAGCTCCCTGGTGAACAGAACATTGGCGAGCTTGCTCTGACAGTACGCCTGCTTCGTGTCGAACTTCTTCTTCTCCCAGTTCAGGTCATTGAAGTCGATCTTTCCAACGATGTGGGCGAGCGAGGCCAGGTTGATCACTCTGCTGGGGGCCGACTCTTTCAGCTTCTCCAGCAGGAGGTTTGTCAATAAGAAGTGGCCTGGAGGAAGTCTAAAGGTTAGGAGTGAGCAGAAATCTTTAGGCTCTTTCTTACAGTTTTCAGTGCTTTGCAAAAGTAATCTTACCACATAAATATTTCAATTAGTTTCAGAAATTCATATTGATGATTTCTATTGAATAAGTAGTGTAGCATGCACTTATGCTAAGACTACTTAACACTGATGTGCTTAAATAAAACTGAGTCACCCACACAGCAGTTCTCAATAACACACCATCCCAATAGTGAAACAGCAGCATCATGCTGTGGAGATGCTTAACCAGGAGCAGGTTTTAGCTTGATAGGAAGATGGATAGAAGTAAATCCATTATAATCCTGGAAGAAAATCTGTTGGATGTAGCAGAAGACTCGCAGCTGATTGACCTCCACAGCCAGGGCTACAACCTGATGAGTTAGATCAGTGGATCTCAGATGGTTTTTTGGAGTTTATAAAGCACTAGTGGCTTGTTTTTCTGACAGTAGGCTGACAGGAAAGGGGCTATGAGAGAGGGGGAGAGACATGCGGCAAAGGACCACAGACTGGATTCAAACCCGGGTCAGCCGCGTCAAGGACTAAGGCCTCCGCACATGGGTCGTGCGCACCACTGCGCCACCAGCACTCCCCTCAGATGGTTTTTATCAAGTAAAATCTGAATTTTAACTTTCAAAATGCCACCAAAGTGTGAGAGTGAGATTATTTCAAAACTGCACAAAAACAGAAGCTGCTTTTTTCATTTTTTTTAACCCCTAGAAATTAAGAAAAAAATAAATAAATCAACATCCTCCACTGGATTTCCCTTTTAAGCTTTTGTAGCAATCTGCACTGTTATCACAAGCAGGCTCGACCCTACAATTCACCTGCTTTACATGATGAAAACAGAGTACCATTTAAAGTGAACAAAGGTCCCCTAGTGGTACTTGTATCACAGCCTTGGGTCTAGAGATCAAAGCATATTCATCATTTTCACGTGATGAAGCAGCCCAGTCAAATCCCAGAACTAAATCTGATTAAGAATCTGAGCCAAGACTAAAAGTTAATATCCTCAGGTCCTCTCTACTCCCATCTGCGGAATGATGGGAGTAGAGAGGATAAACTCCAGTCTTCCAGAAAGGCTGAGAGTCGATGCTATACAGACATCAAGAGTTTAAAAAAAATGGCTTCCACGCATAGCATTCTGGGAGAGGGAGCCCTAAAAAGTGAGCACCAAAACAATGCAGCACCCTGATGCAGGTACAAAGCGCCTCAGTTCACTGGATGAGGAACGCTTAGTTCCCCTCTCAAAAGGTTCCAGTTAAAACATATTTGGAAAAAGTTAACCTAAAACCAAGTTTGTGTTTACTGTGTTACATTATTTTGTGAATTTAAAAATTGGCAAACTCGAGCTTTAATTTGTAATATTCATAATCAAGTTTTAGTAAACATTTGTGCACAGACTTAAGTTGTAACTGTGCTATGAAGCAGCTTTATTATATTTTCCCATGTAATATAGGCAAAAACAACAAGTTGCATTCCTAATATTAAGTGCATGACCAGTTTTTTCTGTTACTTAGAAACAGGATTTGGACATCAAAACGGCATCGTTACTGGATGCACAAACAGCAGTGAAAAGTTTAACAAAGCTGAAATCTTCCGTCATAATCTCCTTGTCCACAATTCTTTTGAACTCATAATTTAAGTTAAAAAAACAAACAAAAGACACAATTCACACAATTTTCAGAGGCATGGGACAGTATCGGGTTTTGCAGGCCAACGACCTAAACGACTCCATATTACTAAGGGGTAGACCTGTTTTTAGGTTCAATTTGCATGTTTTGGCTTTTGTTTGGGCTACTATATAAGCCGGGAACTCAAACGCTACTCCAGACATTTTGAATTGAGGAAGCTTTCTGGATGGGAAGCGAAATATCTTCAAACTGGGAAAACAAAGTCCAGTGGTTCGTTGTTTAACTTTTTTGGGAAGACACAATTCTTACATTTCAAATTATACGCTTAATGATTCCTTTTTATCAAAGTTGGCCATTGTAATCAAAAAATATGGTGCTTACTTTTTAGGGCCTGCCGTCCCAGAATGCAATGAGCAGCAGCCATGTTTGTAACTCTTGATGCGTGCATCTAGAGGGGTTGAATTTAAATGCAAGCCACACTTTTCAGAATAGTTGTAGTAAAATAAAGTCTGGAAATCCATTTCTCCTTTTCTCACCACTTAGGAATTAGCCAACACTGTGTGTTTATATGTCACATAAAATACAAAAACCTTTGAGCTTAAACTTGTTTCCTTCTGTTTTATCGGACTGGGTTGGCATGGCAGCAGTCTCAGCGCAGAAATTTAATATAATTGAATTTGAAAATGTTAAAACCTTAGCAAAGCACTGTGGGAGCTGATCTGAGTCAGGCAAAGTACCTAAATGATTAACCCCGAACTGTATGTCAAAGCCGTCCTCCGTCTTCCCCGCTGGACACCTCATGACTCCTGCATTGTTTATCAGTATGTCCACCCGCTTCTCCTCTGCAGTAAAATAAAAAATAAATATATATTTAACCATTTATAATAAAGTTTGGCTTATTCTCCAGTATATGCATCTCCAGCACCTTGGTTTATTTTCTCTGCAAACTCTCGGATGGACTTCATGGAGGCCAGGTCCAGGTGACAAGCATAAACATGAGGGTTCAGAGTTTTTCCTCGGATCTCTTTCGCTGCCGTTTCACACTTCTCCATGTCACGGCATCCCATAATGATACGACCCCCTGATGATGCAGGATACAGAGCGTCAGGAAACAAAAAAATATAAAAGGCAGAGAAGAACTGTCACCAGACCTCTTGTGGCAAGTTCCTGAGCCGTCGCCTTTCCGATGCCCGTGTTAGCTCCTGTTATCACTACTGTCTTTCCTTTGATTGTAGCCTTACTGGGACAACGGCCTCCTGTCACATGGTTTCTGTAAAATGAATTAAAATGTCAAATGAATGTAAAAAATATGGTGCTTTTTTCTTTTTTTTACAGTCAACCTGGTCAGTGTTGACTGTAAGGTTGCATCAAATCAAGGACATTCCTGGAAAAAAGAAAAACCTGCTAGAGGCTTCATAAGACCTGGGACTGGGGTGGAAGACAACCACACTACAAATATAGCCAAAACTACTACACTACAAAAATATACAGAAAAACAATGGAATGGTTTAGATGAAAAAATATGAATGTGTTAGAAAGACACAGTCAAAGCCCAAATATACACTTCAGTAAGAATTTGTTTCAAATCTTATTGGATCTGCAGCCGATCAGATGAAACTGGAACTAATTAAAAAGACAAATGGCAAAAAAAAAATCCTATTCAATATGTCTGGATCTCGCAGAAATAATCCCTAAAAAGCTGCAATTCAAATTTCAATGAAAAGTGACAAGTTGGCAGAAAATCATAATTTAATTGCATCATTCACCTCCATATTTTCTATTGTTCTGTGTTGGCTAACACAGAAAGGTTGGACGTTGTAATAAAACATTAGAAACGTTAGAAAATAACTGAAGTCTTAAAGCTGAGGTGCAGCACCTCAGAAACAGCTCTTTGATCAAAGCCTGATATACAACAAGTAGTTTGTTTCTCATCAATTTTAGCCTACTTCATGTTGTCAGACAGGTTCTGTTAGAGGGCTTTATTGATCCTATAATTATGGAAGAGGATTAAGGGCATTGAAAAAAAAGGTTAACTGATTTTTAAATATTATTTCAGGTTAATATGGGAAAAAATTCTGAATTCTTTTTTTTCTAAGAATTCTGACTTTAATCTCAGAATTTTGGATTTTAATGTAGATGGGCACCATAAGTGGGAGCACTCAGCTTCACAGAGAAAGATGTGAGTTGTTTGGGAGGGCCATTAACACATTGGTGGAAAATGACAAAATGAGTCAACTTTTTACGAGCACCAGGGGTCCCTGGTGATGCTATTTCATTAATGGAAGAGGAAAAGGTGATTGAAACAAGAGAGCTAATCTCTAAAACAGACATGGCTACAGCTTGATATGTTTGTTAGCTGTCAGAATTCAGTCAGAACTCTGGGATTAAAATCAGAATTCTGAGAAAAAAAAGTCAGAATTCTGAGAAAATTCAGAATTCTGAGAAAAAAGTTACAATTCTAAGAAAAATCAGAATTCTCAGATTAAAGTCAGAATTCTGAGAAAAAAAGGAGAATTCTCAGATTTTAGTCAGAATTCTGACTTTTTTCCTTATATTATACAGAAATAAATTTTAAAAACTTTAATTTTTTCGTCGTTGGCCCTTATCCTCTTCCGTATAAAATATGGTAACTAACAATGAAACCTTTTTTTCTTTACAGGATAGTATCTTTAAAACATGCTTTTGATATCCGGCGTTATTAAAAATAGAATAATTGAAAGATAAAGAGCTGGTGCTTAAAGGGGCAAGAACATACTAAAACAATGAGCAAAAGAACAACAGTCTAAAGGGAACTTCTGCATATATCAGTCTATCAGCTACAGATGTGGCAGCCTACATTATGTGTATATTGATTCCATCCACTCCTTACTCTAACAGACACATTATTATGAGTTACTCACTTAAGTAAAACAGCGCATCCGGCCACTGTTCCGAACACAGAAACCGGTAAAATAAATCTACTCATTGCTGCGGAAAAAATCCCTTAAAACTTAAATACATAACGCAGCCGCAAGGTTACAGTCGCACAGTTTCTACGTCATCAGCGAGCCCTAACAGTGGCCTTCTGGGAAACGTAGTCCTCCTAACTTGAAACTTCACATTGGCTGATGGGGCATTTGGATTCAGGATTTTGTTGAAAGTCTTTTAAGTAATGTACGGAAGAGATTAGGAGCACTGAAAAAAATAAAAAAAGTTAACTGATTTTTAAATGTTATTTCAGTTTAATATGGTAAAAAAGTCAGAATGGGCTCTATGCACAGCTCCACTACTTCCTGAATTTAAGGCAGCTCCTTTGTTTCCTGTCTTTCATTACTGGACGAACTGATTAATCCAGGTGTGTCTGGCCAGTTACTTAGGTCATACACACCTGGATTAATCAGTGCATCCAATCATGAAAGACAGGAAACAAAGGAGCTGCCTTAAATTCAGGAAGTAGTGGAGCTGTGCATAGAGCCTATTCTGACTTGTTCTCAGAATTCTGACTGAATTCCGACAAATAACAAACATGTTAGAATCAAGCTGTAGCCATGTCTGTTTTAGAGACTACAGTAACTCTCTCTTTTTAATGACCTTTTGTTCTTGCATTAATGAAATGGCATCACCCTGGACCCCTTGGGCATGTAAAAAGTTGACTCATTTTGTCATTTTTCACCAATGTGTTACTGGCCCTTCCAAACAACTCACATCTTTGTCAGTGAAGCTGAGTGCTCCCACTTATGGTGCCCATCTATATTAAGATCCAAAATTCTGAGATTAAAGTCAGAATTCTGACATTTTTCTCATATTATACTGAAATAAAATGTAAAAATCAGTTAACTTTTTTCGTTTTTTTCAGTGGCCCTAACGCTCTTCCGTAGTAATGAGACATAAGATCAGGTTTAAATATTTAGAACCTCAGAATTTTTAGTTTTGATTCATTAAATATCTCTATAGGAGAGAAACACTAAAAAAAGTGGGGCCAAACTATGGTGGGCAGATTGGGACTGCTGCTAGTCCACAAGTGTAAAATCATACAAAACAATACAAAAGCACTATAGAGTGAATATTAAGGTACCATATATGAAAAATGGAACAGTAGTTACAGTTTAATTAATATCATGCTCATATTTGGGATTTGTATTAACTGGGTACAGTCTTTTAAAAAAAGTATACAAACTGTGGTATATGCATTTTTTCAGAAGACTGTAAATTAGAGCAAGAATATAAACACTATGCTTGCTTGGAGAAGTGAAGGTTATAAAGTCTAACAGCAGCTGGGTGCAGCAATCTAACGCTCCTTAGTGCACCTGGGAGGCATCATTCTGTCACTAAAGGAGCCCCAGTTCTTTACAGCTGCATGTGTGCTGTTCAAGAGTGATCTAATGTTTTATTTCAACAATTCTAAAAAAGGATTCAGTGACAACATTTTGGTCTGACCAACTGCTTTTGTAAGGATTTTAAACAAAATGCAGATAAACTTTCCTTTTTGATAAAGCTTATAGTTAGAGTGGCTCAGGTTATCCTGAGCTATCTCTGCTGGAGGACATAGAGATCCCTATTTCATCATTCTGCTTCATTCTATCGCTATTCTCCACTCTACAAAAATTGTTAGTTTAATCTCTAATGTTATGCTCTCTCTGCCTTGTCTGTTCCTGTTTGGCTGTGACATCCTGGAGAGAAATATCAGCCGTGCTGCTGCCATCAACACCTTTGTTTATAGATGTTGGAGATTGGCCTGTTTTTCCGGTGTGGTCCTGTTTCTTTAGATGTGACTGGCTGGATGTGCTCTCTACGTTCTCTGGCGTGGGGGTTGGCTTGGAGCTCGTCTGCCTGGCTGTGTGTTTCCTGGAAGGGGCTGCCTTTTACAGCTGCTTTTTGTATGTCTGCTTCTGTCTCCTTTAACCCCAGTCGCTTCAGAGATTGGCCACTCACACTGAGCCTGGTTCTGCTGGAGGTTTCTTCCTGTTAAAGGGGAGTTTTTCCTCTCTACTGTTGCTACAAGCATGCTTAGTGTGAGGGATTGCATCCGAGTGTGAGGGATTGCATCAGAGTCAATGAGTCGATGCAATCAGCTGGTTTTCCTTAGATAGAAGACTTTGAATCAATTTGACTGTATGATCTGTTGAACTGTAAAGTGCCTTGAGATGACATGTGTTGTGAATTAGCTCTATATAAATAAACTCAATTGATTTGAATTGAATAATGCTAAACATACTCTTTGTATTTTTTCAACCACAATAATATGGTTTCTTGCTCCTAATTCTATTTTTTATTTTTTGCCATTAATTTCATTTCATTTTTTTCAATTCAAAGCTAAAATTAGAAGAAAAAAAAAAGTTTTATGGTGCAAAAAAGACATGAAAGACATGAAAATCCTTTCCACCTTGATAGCTCTGGTGCAATAAGCACACTGACTAACATAACTTGGAGATACAATTGAAAACAAGGACATTCTTTATATGCAAACGGTGGAGAAAGTTGGTGGCATACAGACGTATAAACTGGGACAAGAGTCCCGTGTCTGGAAAAAGTAAAAAAGGAGAGGAAGAAAGTAAACTGGCAAGGTTTGCTGCTGCAGATGTGTGTGATTGTGTGTATGTGCATATGTGTGTCTGCCTATATGGGTCTGACACTTTGTGCCAGCTAATGTACAAAGCTCTGCCTTCAGAATGATTTATGACAGCCCTATTTGTACAATAACCCAAGCAAAACTTTTCTACCAACATCACATGTTTGTCCCCACCATGGAAGACCTGAATGCAGCAATAAGAACAGCAGCCATATTTGTTAGGTGGAAAGAAACAGCTGGTTAATTATTTTGCACATAGTACCAATGATCAAATCGATCAACAATAGCCATTTATTATGGTAATTCAGTTATATAGATATAAATAATACTATTCACAAAACAGTTAAATGAATCCAGTTTATTTTCAGTAAAAAATAACAAAATATTTCAATGTAACTGAAGCATACAGGCAGATTTGGTTAAACTGATGGCTTTATAAATCAATAAATTCAGTGACTATTATAAGACCTGTCAGAATGCAGCTGGGGGTATGGTGGGACTTGGTGGTGAACTCATGTAGTCGATGTACAGGTGAGAAAACAGGACAAACATCATTAATGCTTTCAGATTTAAAGCTAGAATATTTTCTCACTTCAGCAGCTTGTTTAAAATATCACACAGATCTGTTTTGAAACAAATTGTAGAAAACAGATCATCTGAAGGAGAAGATTTTCTATGGGTTCAGAATTGTGTGATCATAAATGGATTCATAAATAAGAGTAAAAAAGCTGCAGTATTTATATTACAATTAATACTTATAAAAATAATATTTGAAGCCGAAGAAGTCAGTGAAAAATATTTAGCCTTTTTAAATACTTTTATAACTTGTTGGAACTTTAACAACAACATGTCTGGTTTTATCGCCATTATGTAATTATAACTGGTTTACCCATTTTATGAAAGTAAATTTATTGCTTTTTTAAAGAAAATAAAAAACACAGAGCAAAATTATAAAAAGTTATTTTTCTTCATGACGAAAAACATGAAGAAAACGAAAATGTTGTGTAATGCAAATCAAATTTATTTTAATGACAAAGTTTATACACCATTTGGCATGGGCGGTTCTAGACAGAGGCTAACAGGGGCCAGTGCCCCTGTAGAACTGGTCCTGGCCCCTCATAAGAGACCAAGCCAAAAGAAATCAAAGAAGCACGGGCAAGTTTGAGAAAAGTAATAGTAGAAAATTTATTTGCAAAATACAGGTGCTGGTCATAAAATTAGAATATCATGAAAAAGTAGATTGATTTCAGTAATTCCATTTAAAAAGTGAAACTTGTATATTATATTCATACATTACATACAAACTCATATATTTCAGATGTTTATTTTGTTTAATTTTGATGATTACAAATGACAACAAATGAAAATCTCAAATTCATCATATCAGAAAATTAGAATATTACTGAAGACCAATAAAAACAAAGGATTTATAGAAATGTTGGCCAACTGAAAAGTATGAACATGAAAAGTATGAGCATGTACAGCACTCAGTATTTAGTTGGGCCTCCTTTGGCCTGTATTACTGCAGCAATGCGGCGTGGCATGGAGTCGATCAGTCTGTGGCACTGCTCAGGTGTTATGATAGCCCAGGTTGCTCTAATAGTGGCTTTTAGCTCTTCTGAATTGTTGGGTCTGGTGTATTGCATCTTCTTCTTCACAATACCCCATAGATTTTCTATGGGGTTAAGGTCAGGAGAGTTTGCTGGCCAATTAAGAACAGGGATACCATGGTCCTTCAACCAGGTACTGGTAGCTTTGGCACTGTGTGCAGGTGCCAAGTCCTGTTGGAAAATGAAATCTGCATCTCCAAAAAGTTGGTCAGCTGCAGGAAGCATGAAGTGCTCTAAAACTTCCTGGTATGTGGCTGCGTTGACCCTGGACCTCAGAAAACACAATGGACCAACACCAGCAGATGACATGGCACCCCAAACCATCACTGACTGTGGAAACTTTACACTGGACTTCAAGCAACGTGGATGAAGTGCCTCTCTTCTTTTCCTCCAGACTCTGGGACCTTGATTTCCAAAGGAAATGCAAAATTTACTTTCATCAGAGAACATGACTTTGGACCACTCACCAGCAGTCCAGTCCTGTTTCTCTTTAGCCCAGGCAAGACGCTTCTGACGCTGTCTGTGGTTCAAGAGTGGCTTGACACAAGGAATGCGACAGCAGAAACCCATGTCTTTCATACGTCTGTGTGTGGTGGTTCTTGAAGCACTCACTCCAGCTGCAGTCCACTCTTTGTGAATCTCCCCCACATTTTTGAATGGGTTTTGTTTCACAATCCTCTCCAGGGTGCGGTTATCTCTCTTGCTTGTACACTTTTTTCGACCACATCTTTTCCTTCCCTTCGCCTCTCTATTAATGTGCTTGGACACTGAGCTCTGTGAACAGCCAGCCTCTTTAGCGATGACCTTTTGTGTCTTGCCCTCCTTGTGCAAGGTGTCGATGGTCGTCTTTTGGACAACTGTCAAGTCAGCAGTCTTCCCCATGATTGTGTAGCCTATAGAACTAGTCTGAAAGACCATTTAAAGGCTTTTGCAGGTGGTTTGAGTTAATTAGCTGATTAGAGTGTGGCACCAGGGGCCATCAATTTTGAACCTTTTCACAATATTCTAATTTTCTGATATGATGAATTTGAGATTTTCATTTGTTGTCATTTGTAATCATCAAAATTAAACAAAATAAACATCTAAAATATATGAGTTTGTATGTAATGTATGAATATAATATACAAGTTTCACTTTTTAAATGGAATTACTGAAATCAATCTACTTTTTCATGATATTCAAATTTTATGACCAGCACCTGTAAACATATATCTGGGCACAAAAAGAAAATGAGGTAAACAAAACCAAACTTAAGTATTAACTGATCTAACAAACTGATGCACAAGGGGAACATTATAAACTGGCTGACCAGGCCATTTCGAAACAAGAGAACATTATATACTTTTATAAAACTAGGGTGACCAAACGTCCGTATTTCCCGGGACATATCCGTATTTCACGTCCTGTCCTGGGCGTCCCGGGTTTTTTTTAGAAAGTGAGGAAATGTCCTGATTTCACTGCGCACGACGCTCTGTGTGACGTAATCCCTGAGCCGCATCAGAGCGGGCAGCCCTGTTCTTAATCAGAGGCTCTGTTCGAAAACCTAGGACGTGTCCTCCAAGGACGCGGTCTACCTAGACTGGATCCTTCGAAGTCCTTGAAAATAAGGAGGCCGGAAGAGTTTTGGCTGTAAATTCGAACAGGTCCACCCTTCAGCGGGTTTTACCGCCGTATGCTCTGTTGCCTAGCAACCGTGAAAGTTTACACACAAAGCAGGAAAAGAATGAATACCGAGGTTTTCAAAACTGTTTGTTTATTTATTTATTTTTTTAAAGTTAAAGTGAACAAAGACTACTCTCACAAGAATCCAGAGTGGAATAAAGGTTCCAACCACCGGGAGCAGGAACAAATAAAATCAAATGTAATGATAGAAACCTTAGTCAGTTAAATAACCTGCTGCTGTCATTCTGCACAGCTCTGATGTTGCTGCTATTTTCAAATATCCATTATTGTAAAAATGTCCATAGCTGCATATTGGTTATTAATTCTCCAGTTTTATATTGTTAAAACACTACAGAATTGTATTGTTTATATTTTAACTCTGCCCTATTATGTTATTCTTATACATTTTTCTAAGGTCCTCATTTGTGTGACCATTTTCAATAATCTTTCTGATGCTGTAAATTTGCCCATTGTGGGACAATAAAGGGATTTTCTATTCTATTCTATAAAAGGGTTAGAAATATATAAGTAAATCTAAACAATGTATCTACAAAATATATCTGCAAAATCTCTAATATTCAACAACAAAAAATACTTAGTTAAGCATATTGTGCAAAACAACAATAAAAAAATTTAACTCCTATCAGATTTATAGTCCCCACTCTGCAGATCTATTAGAATCTGTCCTTAAATTATACAGCCAAACTAATTTACACAGTAACAGATAAAAACCTTTAGATAAACCAAACATTACCGCCACATATCTGACTCTATAATCATTAAAACAACTATTTTCATTCATTTCAGACGGAACTATTCACAGAGTTGTATTATATTAAACTGAACTTCCAATTTTCACCACTGTTCTGCGCCAAGTAACATTTCCTCAAATCACGATGATGAGACATTTGTTCTTTCAATCAAATCCCCCCCCCCCCCACCCCGCTCCAAGGTGTCCTGGTTTTCCCAAATGAAAATATGGTCACCCTAATAAAACAAATACAAAAATCAAACTAATACAAAATCAGCAACATATGAGAGAAAATAACTTAAGTAATTAAACTCTCCAATTTTAATTATAAAAAGCCTAACAAGATGAACAAATTTAACCTACCACACCTCTTCTAAAATAAATGGAAGAGTCCAATCAAGTCTCAGAGCCATTTAGGAGACTGTTTGCAGCTGGGACTCTGGCGCGGCCAAGCCCACATGGCAGCCTCCCAGCAAGTGGCAACTCAAGAGAAAAATATATTAGTTTAAAATAAACCACACAAACGAAAATGGCAAAATGAGTCATCCAAATGTGTGCACCCAAATAGTTAACAAGACCAAATCCATCCATCCATCCATTTTCCATCACGCTTATCTTAAGCTGCGCTGTGAAGGGTGCTGGTACCTCCAGTTGTCTATGGGTGAGAGGCGGGGTTCACCCTGGACAGGTCACCAGTCCATTACAGGTCAACACAGAGACAAACAGGACAAACAACATTCACAGCTAAGGAGTATTTAGAAAAGCCAATTAACCAAACAGTCATGATTTTTTGGAGAACCAAAAGTACCCAGAGTGAACCCGCACATGCACATGAAGAACATGCAAATTCCAGGCAGAAAGACCCAAGGCCAGGAATCAAACCCTGAACCTTCTTTCTGCACGGCAGCAGTGCTACCCCCTGCTCCACTGAGCAGCCCAAATCCAAATCACATACGTAAAAATAATGAAATGCTATGTAAATACTAGTACTGTGAACTAATATAAAGTGATGCATTTAAATGAAAATAATTATCAGACATTTACTGAGGGGCTGCACATGATGCCATCACACCCCTTGTCTGAAAACATACACTACAAAGCTAGAACTACTGTATAATGAAGCAAATGTTTCTTGAAATAAGTCTATTTTCTCTGATTTGATCAAGTTAATAGTATCTTTGCCTCGTCTGTTTCAGTTTGGCTGTGACTCCATCCTGGAGAGAAATATCAGCTGTGCTGCTGCCATCAACACCTTTATTTATAGATGTTGGAGATTGGCCTGTTTTTCCAGTGTAGTCCTGTTTCTCTGACTGTGACAGGCTGGATGTGCTCTCTTCATCCTCTGACATGGGAGTTGGCTCAGAGCTCGTCTGCCTGGCTGTGTGTTTCCTGCTTTTTGTATCTCTGCTTCCGTCTCCTTGAAACCCCGATCGGCCTCGACAGATGGCCACACTGAGACTGGTTCAGCTGGAAGTTGCTTCCTGTTAAATGGGAGTTTTTTCTCTCCACTGTCGCTGCAATCATCTGGTTTTCCTTAGATAGAAAACTTTGAATCAATTTGTTTGTATGATCTGGTGAACTGTAAAGTGCCTTGAGATGACATGTGTTGTGAATTGGCGCTGTAGAAATAAACTGAATTGAGTTAAATTAAACAATTTGCCAATGAAATATGATGATTTAAAATGATAATTATAAAAAAATCCCAATTAACTTCCATCGATCCATCCATTTTCTTACACGCTTATCCCAAGTGGGGTCATGAGGGGTGTTGGCGCCTATCTCCAGCTGTCAATGGGCGAGAGGCGGGGTACACCCTTGACAGGTCGCCAGTCCATCGCAGGGCAACACAGAGACAAATAGGACTTATTCACACACACATATACACCTATGCGGACTTTAGAGAAGCCAATTAACCTAACAGTCATGTTTTCGGACTGTGGGAGGAAGCCGGAGTACCCAGAGAAAACCCATGCATGCTCAGGGAGAACATGTAAACTCCATGCAGAAAGACCCTTTTTGCTGCAAGGCAGCAGTGCTATCCACTGCGCCACTGAGCAGCCCAATTAACTTTAATACACTTATTCTAAAAAAATGTTACTTTTTAGACAAGTTTTAATATTATAATACTGAAGTTATAATATGTGCAGAAGAGAAGGAAATGATTTGTCCCCATAGGTCCCATATTAATATATACAACATGCAGTTAAGCTTCAGTCATGCTAATATAGGATCACAGTTTGCATCTAAGTAGTCTGCAACCTCTTTGGTGATGCACTCTTTTCTTGTTTTTTTTTTTTTTATTCTTTTTGTTCCGTGACCTCATACGCTTCCGTAGTCCCCGCCCTGACCCCCCTTGTAAATTTAACCTAGAACCACTGGAGAGGCTTCTTGTCCTACAAGATAAAATCCATTGAAGGACTGATGTAACCCGGCGCTAGGACCCAGGACACGTGAGCGCATGGAGCGCATGTAGTTGGCCAGAGGGTGGAGACGGAGAACAATGAGAGAGCTAAATGGTAGGACCAGTAGAGGTAGATCATCTAAATCAGAGCCCTCCCCACCTGTGAAGTCCTGCAGGACGGACGAGCCGGTGACAGAAACACAGGGTTCAATATGAGCAGGAAAGCATGCGGACTTGTTTGAGCGCGCAACCGACATCAGAGCTGCACTCCTGCGGAGCGCCGATGTGAATGAATGGGCTCCTCTTCTTGTTTATGCATGTTTGTTCCTGCTGCTGAAGTGGAAGTGGGTCATGCAGACCACTGGAGGAGCGGAAGATAAACACGCAGCCCCCTCTGGCTGCTGCTTGGCAGGTTGAAACGGTGGACGGAACGGGTTCCGCGTCCTGCAGCTCAAAGCCCCACATGTGGCTTTGATTTCTTCAAAGAAAGTCTCAAAGAAGTAGGGAAAACAGGGATAAGAACTTTTGTTTTCTTCATTTCAATTCCGAATACATTTTTTTTTTTTTTGTTGCTATTTGAAAGCCAAGATCCATCTGTCGTTTCCGATCGGGTGGAGGCTGATCCGAGCAGAGCGCAGAAGCTCTGCTCACCGAGCGGATGCAGGACCATGGAGAGAGACAGGTCGCCAGCAGGTGAGCAACACCCCGATGCGCCCCGAGGCGCCTCAAACTAGGTCAGAGGAAACCGTCAAGAAAAACAAAATCTGGAAAATATAGATCATTTAATGTATAATATAACATACCAGGATTCTCCCTATTATTAAGTACAATCCAATAACCTTTAATCAGCCCCCATTTTAAAACGTATTTCTTTATTTTAATGTGAATTTATACTCTTCATAGGGTGCAAAAAATGCAATAATCTGGGTTTTCTTCCAGGACACAAATTTTGGTGAATTTGCACATGTTCCTAAATAGGCTATAACCCATAAGAGAGACAGAACAGAAAATGAAGGAATTCAAAGATGAAATCTGTTTATGTCAGTGAGGGGTGGTGTGAAAGTATAGGCTATAAGCATTTTTATTTAAATAAGAAAGCACATCAGTTATGCAATATCTACATACCAAAAATGGTGTAAAATCCCAATTTTGATACATTTAATAAACAGAAACAAAAATCTGATTTGTTTACCAATCAATAGACATTTTACACATTCTTATCTTTAATGACCTCTTTGCTAAGACTTTATTTATTTCTAAACAAAATACACATTTTCTTTTGCCTGCTTTGTGATTGCCCATGTCTGTTCCTAAATGATTAGGATGGATGGACTTACAGAATAATGGACCAGTAATACTTTAATCCAGACCAGACAGGTACTTCCTCATGTCTGATGCATTTAACTAAGCAGCTGACTTGCAAATCCTGTAAGAGTAAAACCTTGAAGGCTGGTAATGGCTCTGCACACTGACAATCATGAAAACATTGCAGAGGGAGCACAAGCATAATGGTTCATATTTTCTTTGGTCCTGCAGACCTTGTTTTGTTAAACGAGTGCAAAAAAGGTCAGTCTAATGCAATTCATAGGCAAAGTCGCTCTCACTAGGCAGCCCCTCCCTGATGCTACATAAATAATTTACATTTAAGAATGTTTATGAGTTCACAACAATAATCTACATGTTACTGTTGAGGAGCAGCAGGTTAATCTCTATTTGCTCAGAAAAACATGATTTCATATTACCAGAAATTGTCTTCTCCAATTGTAGCTTGAATGTTCAAAGGAGATGGTACATATAGCAGGAAAAAAATGAGTTTCAGACTAATAAGGAGAAAATTGACCTGCTTCAGCAGGAATAAACAACCCATAGCCCTTCAAAAGAAATGAATATTTACATACTGAACTTAAATGTTTATGAATATTAGTTGAACATAAAATATTTTTTATTTTATTAATAATGCAATGAGCCTTTTGCACAGACTTCCTGGCTGTAGGCTGTTTAAATGCAGTACCTGACTCACTTTGCAGGGTGGAAATAAACGAACCCATGTAAATAAGTTATGAACAGTGAAAACAAGTCTTACTGAACTACATCAACAACTGCCACCTTATTTTTGTCATAAACATGAAATATTTTAAGCATTTATTGTGCTTCTACACCATTGGGGCTTCTTTTAAATTAAATCTTAACCTCTTTGTAAAGTCAATAACTCAATGCAATTAGCTCGGCTTCCTGAGACAGATGATGCTGACGTCATACATAGACTAAAGAATGGTTCGGTATGTTTATCATGGTATGATAACCACAAGTAAAGATAATACATTTTGACATTATCACTTTGTTTGCACTTTCATTTGTATCAAGAACTTCTATCATTGTCTATTACCTTTTGTATAAACTGTTGTACCTTTAGGAGGAATGATGATTGATGCTTATATAATTTTAAACGCTTGCGAAAAGTTTTCGATAAGCCAGCTGATTGGCATATTTTCGGGTATCTTCATTAGATGAAGTTTAAATGAGAGAAACACTAATGGAAGATTTTGAAATAAATTTCCAATATAGCCCGAAAAATCTTCAATCGTGCTTTGGGATTTTATAGCTATAAGCCAAATATTGATTTTGTTAATTTTTTTACTCAGCTACCTAGCAGTGCACAACAGCAAGATCCAATTTAAATGATTTTATGTTGCATGAATAAATCCAAATTTCTTAGGAACCAAATGTTTAGATTTGCTGTATAAAATGGACCACAACTGTAAAATTTTTTTACCGTCTGAAATAATAACCTCCCGGTTCCATGGTTCTACTGTATGCGATTGCTCCTGATCGCAGTCACTCCTGATTGCAGACATTATAGTCAGAGTGGCTCCAGTTGCGGCAGTTTCTGAGCGTGTAACCGCTTCTTTAAAATAGGAGCCTGTTTTATTTTTACTACTCGATCTCTGTGACAGTCTATAGCAAAGCGGATCGTTCTGGCAGGAAGTCAGTTGATGGGAAAAAAAGTGGATCCGGTCGAGTTCACAAGTAAAAGAAAACTGGATTGCATTTTCTAAGTTTTAGTAATTAATAAATTTTGTTCATACAGTGAGTAAACAGCGATAATAAATATGACCATAGAATTAAAAAATAACTAAAATTAACTAAATATTTTCACTCACAAAGAGTTCAACAAAATATCCAAAGGAAAAATGATGAGGTTATTGGATAAAAGCAGTCACAAAAGTTGCTTTTAGTACTGGCAAAATAAACACTTTACTGGTTTATTGTTCTATTTAAAGCATACAAGTACACTATATAACATGATAATCCAGTACTGATGTGATCTGAGTCCAACCATGCAGTCGCTCGGCTCTGAAAGCAATTCCAGTGCAACCAAGGGGTAAAAGGACTGAATGTGGTTCAAATGTTTTGGGTTTCCTTCAATCAGTTTGCTGGAATTTTGTCCCATTCCTCACAGAGCTGATGTAAGTTGGTCAGGTTTGTTGACCACTTCTTTCACACATCTTTTTCACCTCTGCGTACATTTCTCTACTGTTAAGATTAGGGCTTTGTAATGGGCACACCAAAACACTGTCCTTGATCAGTTTTGTAAACAGCTTGGAGGTATTGGTTACGCGCTGCATGCACTGTGCGATTATTGGACGTTTTTAGGACGATTTGTGGATCAGGCGGAATCTTGGTAAAATCTCGTGTTGTGTGTCGTGCAGAATACAAGGGGGTCACGAGTAGCCTGACGTAGTCCTACTCAATTCTAGTCAGAATATGAGTCTGATACTGCTCCATAGAGCTGTGATTATGGGGCGTGTTTTGAACGAACCAGGAAAAAAAATGCCTCTGCACTCAATTGGATAGACCTACAACCAATAAGAGCAACGGAGTGCGTGACGTATGTTAAGTGATGCATAGTTGTTGTCAACAAAAATCAAAGCGTGCAGTTGCACGCCTAGAATAAGAAGATGAGCCTTGATCGCGTTTCTCTGTTCCTCTTTTAAAATTAATTTGCTGTCGATATCTTCTAGAACAGACCTAATAGCAGAATCTACTTACCTCAACTCTCCAGCGGCAGCCATTGTTGTTGTCACCAAAGCGCGCTTTGGTCACGTGGTTGATTACGTTACTGTTGATCCATCATCTTATAAAGCCCGCCCTGACAATTTGATTGGATCGCCAGAGGGTGGGCGATCATACTCGCGCTACTATGGAGCAGAGCCAGACCGAACTTCCCGACCTCAAACCTTGTGGGCGGGACTAAGTTCGGAATGGCACCCAGGCTAGGTCACGAAAGGTGATTGGCACCGAAAGACGAGCTCCCGATCAGAAATCCTGAGTCACAAGAAAATCAAACTTCTTTTCTGTTCCCATCTAAACAAAGGTCTTTCTCCAGGAGTGTTTTTGCAAACTGGCTGTTTAGAGATATTGGCAGGATCTCAATACTCTAAATTGGAAAGGACACTTCAGCCGTAGGGGAAGATCTTCGACGGCCCCCATAATAAGTTCTATCTGAATAGTGATGGCAGTTACAAGGAGCTAGGACCAGAACAGTATGCTCCCTAGTGCCAATTCATTTAGCATTATAACCTACAGTTGCCCATAGTCCTTTGCATGACAGGACAAATAGGCTTGATCAAGACAATTGGCTCAATGTAACTTGGATGTTAAGTGTTAACCTATAAGAAGGTTTCAAAGCCATAATATCATTCCAAGGCATTTCTATATTCTCAGAATTCATAGTCTTAAGCCCCTTTCACACATAAGTCCCAGTAAATTGCCTGGGATCTCAGTCCAAATTTTATTTAATGTGTGTCATAAATGCAATCCAGTCCCAGTACCTGTCTGTTTAGCTTTTTAACAGCTTGATGTGATTGATTTACCAAACATCACCTGCAGGTGGCGGTAATACAGGGGATATAGCTTTAACTGATCAAGCTAACCTCTAAAGAGGAATTTTAGATTGAAAGCCCGTCCGTCAAACAGCTGATTAGTAAAAACCGATCAGTATTTCTTACAGTCTTAGTAGCTATAAGAAGAAAGCTACAGAAGAAATTCATTAATTCATCTTAGTGCATTTTACAGAGAAGCAAGTGGTAGACACCAGGGAAAGATTTAAACATCTACTGTCCTATTACACTCCACGCAGGCAGAGAAAATCTTCTTTTTTTAGGTCCAACAAGTTTCCAGCCATCATTAAAAACTTGGCTGCTTGCTTGATAAAACGTTGCCAACCCATTCGTCAGGCACGCTGTTGTTCCAAAGGTTAACAAACATGTAGCAGGGGTCATTATTGGGTAGCTTCACTACGAAGTCTTTGGATAAACATGCAAATGAATGCCTTAACTTGCTTTATTCACACTAGAATGGCCCCAGTTAATTAGTTGGTATAATACTAGGTATTTTATTTACACATATAATTGATCCAGTTAATTATTGGGTATTCGTAAGTATGCAAAGGGCTTTAGTCTATGCAATTTGAAGCAAAAATAAATGAGTTTTTTTAACAAACTGACCTTAAGGATTTTGTTTGGTATACAACATATGAAAACTGCACAGTTTAGTCAATTTGACTCTTAAGACTAAACTGGACTCTATGATTGGACCGTGCCAATATGAATTGGGCCTGTTTGTAAAATGTCTGATGGTATAATTTTTAGTGAATTGTTACTAAGTGAATGATCTGAATTGAATTGATTGAT